TACAGTATGTCTAAGGGTTAAATTCAGTGTAAAGCGTGACTCTCCACAAAGCGTGACTCTCTCTGCACTCACACTGACGACGCAAGCAAGGCGCGCTGGGCCGAATGAACGCCATTCGGCTCAACTCGGCTCATCTCGGAAGTTCGAGTTCCAAATATTTGTTCGGATTCCAAGACAAAAGTTTCTCGAATCTCCTGGTCGAATACCGATTTGGTCGAAATCCGAGGCGTTCGAGAACCGAGGTATCACTGTATTTGTGACTCTTCGTCCTGAGGATCGAAGTTTGAAAAACAGCACACTGTTCTATATTCTTGAAGTAGCTAGGGAATGGTATCTGCTGGTTCAAGTGAGTGCAGCTCAGAACCTAACATGCAGTTTGTCCAAAAACGTGTGGTCCCTGGCATATGTCTTAGAGATTTCTATGCAATACGCAATGTGTTAAAATGTTTTTTAAATTGAGTTTTAGAGAAGGAGGGAGAGTGAGAGAAACATTGATCAGCTGCCTCCTGCATGTCCCTTATTGGGGCCCGAGCCTGCAATCTCTGCATGTGCCCTGACTGGAGATGGGGCCAGAACTCTTTCAGTGCGTGGGGTGACGCCCAACCAACAGCCACATTGGCCAGAGCAAAATTATGAAAAAATTTTGAAAATATAAAGTGCTATACCATTTCACAGTAGTAATATTCAACATTTGTTTTAACCTCTCTTTTAGTGAGACTGTGGACACAGACATTTAGAATTCTGTCTCCATTGTTCCTTCACCTATTGGTAATCAGTAGAAGGGGAGCATGGGTTAGTCTATCCACTGAAGTAGTGTTCATGTAAATGCTTTGATGAGGACTTCTACACAAATGTAAGGCATATATGTATATATATATATATCCATGTAGGAGAAAAAAAAGGCACAGGAAAAGAAGGGATCTACCGGAGCCCACACTTGCCAAGAATATAAATAGTTTAATAAGGTAAAAGAAAGAAATAGCCCTGGCCAGTTTGGCTCAGCGATGAGAGCATCTGCCCGCAGACCAGGGAGTCCTGGGTTCAGTTCCTGCTAAGGGCACGTACCTCAGTTGCAGTTCATCCCTCACCCCGGCTGGGGTTGTGTGGGTGGCAACCAATCGATGTGTCTCTCTCTCTTTCTCCCTCTCTCCCTCCCACTCTATATGAAGATAAATGCAAAAATATCCTTGGGTAAGGATAGAAAAAAAATGATTTAAAATATAAGTCAAGACCAATGATCTATAAAAAATTTACCTAGATTTGTAAAGGGCCAAGTATCAGTATATAAAACATAATAATTGATATTAGAAACTGGAGAGCTTTAACAGCAGTTTTGCCACAGCAGAATCGGTTATTTACCTGGAAGAGAGACGTGAAGAAATCAGAAGAAAAGACAGTACAGAAAGGATGAAAAGATAGGTTATGTCTTAGAAAACGGAACAAGAAGGTCCAACATGCATTGAAGTGGAATTCCAGAAGGAAGGAGAGAGATTAGGCAGAGGTAATATTTGAAGAGGTGATGGCCCAGAATTTCCAGAATAATGAAAAATAACCATGCACAGATCAACAAATCCAACAAATTCTAAATAAGACAAAAAATTTTAAATTAATATCCAGAAACACTATTGAAACTTAAGAACTGCAAAGAAAAACCAAAGATCCTAAAAGCAATGAAAAGACAGTACCTTCAAATGAATAATTATTGGACCAACAGCTTCTCAATAGTGATATTCAGAGAGAATAACAGTTTAATATAGAATTATGTGCTCAGCAAGAATTTTCTTCAAAGTAAAGACATTTTCAAACAGTCTGAAAGTGGTTTTCATTGGTAGACTCGAACTACATAAAATGTTCATTTGAAAAGGAAAAGGGGCTATTAGTGTAAATATGTATACATACAAGTCTAAACCATTCTCTGTGAAGATAATGTCTTGGGGTTCAGAGAAAACAAAATACAAAGAGAACACAAATTATGAGATAGGTAAATTGATTTAAAGTATACTAAAGTCTTGTATTACGGGATAATCTACAGATACTAACTTTAAGCTTTGATAAGGTAAATAGGCATGGTCCAATTTAAAGGGTAACCACTATAATATATATAAATTTAGAAATAGAGCCCTGGCTAGGTGGCTTAGTTGGTTGGAGTGTTGTCCTGTACACCAAAAGGTTTCTGGTTTGATTCCAGGCCAGGGCATGTACCTAGGTCGTGAGTTGATCAGTGGGTCAGGGTGTATATGGGAGGTAACCAATGGATGTTTCTCTCTCTCCCCCCCTCTCCCTCCCTCTTCCTTCTCCTCTCTAAAATAAACAAACAATACTTGGGTGAAGATTAAGAATTTAAAACAATACAGAAATAGAGTGTGTCTTCCAAACTTATTGAGGAAAAACAATTAAAAATGTATCTAAAAAAGATAATTCAAAGAAGGCAGGATAATTAAAAAGCAGTAGAAACAGATCTAAGATAGTTGAAGTAGAGGCTGACAAATAGTTCTGGTAAGCTCAGCCGCTGTGGCTCAGTTGTTGAGCATCGACCCATGCACCAAGAGGTCGCTGGTTCTATTCCTGGTAAGGGAACAAGCCCAGGTTGTGGGCCAAAACCCCCAATGGGGGACACACAGGAGGCGGCCAATGTTCTCTCCATCAGTGTTTCTATCTCTCCCTCTCCCTTCTCTCTCTAAAATAAAGAAAATAATAGTTCTGGTAAATGTAGAATAGACTTACGTGCTCTACTAAAAAGGCATAGGTTGTTGGACTGAGATGTAACATGTAAGAATACTGTAAGGTTAAAACTAAAGGATGTAAAAATGCACACCAGGGAATACTAATCCCCACTCCACCTCCAAAAAGCAGACCTGACTTGAATCCTGGCTCAAACCCCTTCTATTAATTTGATTTTGAGAAAGTAGGATTACAAATATAACCGGTTTATTGAGAAGATAAAATAAGGTGATATATGTGAAGCATGTGTCGTGCACTGCCTGATACATAGTAAGTTTTCTATGAGTAGTTGTATTATTTTAGAGCTACATGTGTGAAGAAATATAGGTCTGACCTAGCTGTCCATTTTACATCAGACTTCCTAAAACTAGGTGGGGAAATTATAGCCCATGGTTTGGATCCAACCTGCCCGGGATTTTTATCCTGTCTAAAAATACAATCTCATTAATATCTTCTCCAAGTGAAAATAGCAATTAACATTACTATCCAGGGGGAACCACTGTCAACATATTTGTAAACATCCTCCTAATCATCTTTTCATATTCTAGATGTATACCTAGTTATGCATAAGCACATATATAGAGTATTATGCATAAGCACAAAACTTTTTATCACTAAACAACCTACTTCAAATTTGAAACCCAGTTATTACCTCCAAATGCTTTTAGTCCTGAGGATCAGTCTGAAACAGCATCTCACTCTTTACTGTGCATATCAAAGGCTTTTTTAAAAAATCTATATTATTGAGGGTATTACAGATATCCCCCATTCTTCCCATTGCCCCCCCTTCACTCGATTCCCACTGCACCCCAGGTCTTCACCACACTATTGTCTGTGTCCATAGATTATACATATATGTATATAGGTTCTTTGGTTATTCTCTGTCCACCCCCTTCCCTCTGAGATCTATCAGTCTGTGCCATGTTTCCGGACCTATTTTTTTCATTAGATTCCACAAATAAGTGAGATCATGTAATACTTATCTTTCTCTGACTTACTTTACATAGCATAATACTCTCCAGGTCCCTCCATGTTGTCTCAAAGGGTAAGAGATCTTTTTTTTTTTTTACAGCTGCATAGTATTCCACTGTGTTAATGTACCACAGCTATTCACTCATCTACTGATGGGCACTTGGGCTGTTACTAGATCTTAGCTGTTGTAAATAGTGCTGCTGTGAACATAGGTGCATATATTGTTTCTGATTGGTGTTTCAGGCTTCTTAGGCTATCTATGTTCCTAGAAGTGGGATCACTGGGTCAAATAGTAGTTCTGTTTTTAATTTTTTGAGAAAATTCCATACTGTTTTCCATAGAGGCTGCACCAGTCTGCATTCCACCAACAGTGTACTAGGGTTCCCTTTTCTCCACACCCTCGCCAGCATTTGTTTGTTGATTTATTGATGGTAGCCAATCTGGCAGGTGTGAGGTGATACCTTATTGTCATTTTAACTTGCATCTCTCTGATGATTAGTGACTGAGCTGTTTTTCATATATCTCTTGGTCATTTGTATGTCCTTTTTGGAGAAGTGTCTAGGTCCTTTGGCATTTTTTAATTGGATTGTTTGTCTTTTGTTGAGTTGTATGAGTTCTTTATATATTTTGCAAATTAACCCCTTATCCAATGTATCATTGGCAAATATGTTTTTCCATACAAAGGCTACTTTAGAAAATAATACCTGACATCATTTTTATAAGAGGCACAAAATCCTAAATAAAGTTTAAAAATTAATTGAATCCTTTTTTTTACACAAATCCTCTCGTAGTTCTTGCTTCATTAAGGTAATACTGGCATCACTATAGTTCTGAGGAAACCAAAAAACCTCCCGTCTGGGAGGGAAGGCTAGCTGACTTTGAACACCTGCACATGGGCTGACGGTGGGTTCAGAAGTGGCAAGGATTAGTCACGTAAAATTTTAACTATTTAGTCATAAGCTGAATAACCCTCTTATACAACTCTTGTAATTGAATTCAATCATACTCAAGCTTTGATTTCTCCTTTTTTTTAATTCCTCACCCGAAGATATTTTTCTATTTATCATCAGATGGGTGGGGGGGGGGTGATGGAAACATTGATGTGATAGAGCCACATCGACTGGTTGCCTTCCACACGACCCTACCAGGGCCAGGGACAAACTGCAACCAAGGTACATGCCCTTGACCAGAATCGAACCCGCGACTCATTGGTCTGCGGGTTGACACACTAACCTCTGAGCCAAACCAGCCAGGGCTGATTTCTCCTTAAACCCCACCCTCAAACCAACACACAGGTATACACTCAGTCGGCATACAAGACTGCTGACACGGCTTTATTGAACATCATGATTATAGCCGACACGGAAATGAAGTGGATACAGTCACGCCCAACCGGCATGCAGTTCACAGTTAATTGTCAAAGTTTGAAACGTTAACAATTTCAATTTGCATTTTTCATAAATATATTGATTTCTGAAAATATTTTTAGTAACTGTACTTAGTTTTTAAAAAATACATATTGATCAGAAGGAAAAACTCAAACTATTAAGTGGATGATACCTAGGAAAGTTTAAAATAATGGGTTCATCTCCCATTTTCCACATCTGACTTGTTTATTTACTGTTAATTCACAGAACCTGGGACTCAGTGTTTGAAGCTCAACTTCCTGGGGTTTCTGGGAGGTAGGGTAATTATAAAAAAGGAAACACTTCCATTTTGTGTATAAAAGACTGCCTTGCATACTGATAACGTCACGAACCCCAAAAAGTACTTCTATTCAGAGTCAAAGGCCCAGGTATTGGGCATTAAGGAAATACATAGTTGAATGTCTCATCTCCCTCCAATCAAAGTTAGTGAAATAACATCGCTGTCACAAACAGCAAAGACAATGGATATTAACTTCAGTAGCAGTTAGTACCAGGAGGAAAAGACTGCTATACAGAAAAACGTGCAAATCTGTAGGTAAAAGTGAAAAACAATGTGGACTATTACACAGATATACTGAATTTTGTGCCCACAGAGACTCTGGCTTTATTCCGTGGAAGTGGGTCCCACAATAGTTTAACTGCCCATCCCCAAATGTCAAAGTGAAATGAAACAACAAATTCTAAATGATTATTGTACTTCACTTAAATTATCTGTAAATAAGAACAATCAACTGTTCATATAGCCTGCGAATTGTAAACATACCAAGAAGGTCAAGCTCATGCCTTAAAAAGAACCTGCCCTGAGTCTTAGTTTTTGGTCAGAGATCAGACAGGTGCACTAGTCAGCCACAGGTGAGCTCCCATCTTGATGTCAGCGCATTCTGGAGGCCAGATGTGTGCTCACCAACCTATACAAGGGTCTGGGCAATCCCGCAGGTAAGTTTCGAATTGACCTTTGGCAACGTCCATCAACGTTGTGAATACAGTCAGCTGAAAGAAAAGTTATTTTTACTTTAAGGATATTTTCAATTCTAAGATGTCCTGATTCATATTAGCATTTCTTGTGAAACTGCTTTGTGAAATTAATAATATTAATACTACATTATATATAAGTAAATTATAAAACAAATGTTATATAAAGATCCAAATAATAATAATTAAATAAGTTAATAATAAAACCAACTGACTTCAACAGACTGTTACTCTAGGTTGTGGATACGGACAGGCCTGGGAGAGAGACCAGTTCTTTACAAGATCTTCAGCAGCACTCTGCTTCACCAGCAATGCTGTGGGCCTGACTGAACCTTCAGTTTATACTTTGTGGTCATGCACAGCCTAATGGTATACTATGGAGTAGGAACAGTTTAGCTTTGGCTGTCTTTAAAAGTATCTACAGTGGGGGACACGATGCAGGTTTGCAGATTAGGCGCACACACAGTGGAAATAACCACAAGGCACACAGAAATCTGTAAATAGCCACTGGGAGCCCTCATGAAGGTGGCATGGGCAAAACAAGAAGTATGGCAGGGTCGGCGGGCTTAAGGAAGGCTTCCGAATGCTACCAGCGGGAGGAATTCGTCTGGCAGAGGTGAGGGAGGCAGGCTGATTTAGGGAAGGTTAAGGGAAAGGACCAGAGCAGAGAAAGAACAAATGGGAAAATCAGGGTGTATGTATCCATAATAAACAAGGGGACTATTAGATGATTAGAAACTTTTTACATTTTTAAGCTATAGTTTGGGGAGCAGATAAAAAGATATAATAAAGTTTAAGACTAAAATGCTACACTTAATTCAATGCCATGTAAGTAAAACTCGAAACAATACTCTGACCAAACTGACATCCAAGCCACAGAGATCAGTTTCTTTGTCATGTCCCAACAGTTACTATTTTAATCACACAAAAACATTTTTACAAATCAACCTCAAGTTGAACATGACTTGGGATTTTAGCTCTGATTCCTCCAAGATGACAGGGAATGATAAAACAAAGGACCAAATTCTTTCCCTAAAAACAAACATATATTTTGAAAATACCTTATTGAGGACAGGTTTTGTTGACAGGATGTCATACATGGTTGGTAATGAGATGCTCTAAAACACAAAAATAACTTGTTCAGTACATTAAATACAGAGTCAACAGCCTTACCCACACAAATGGGTCATCAGATACCAAGACATTCTTTAATCAATCTCCTCCAACCCCCTAAGTGAATTTCTCTTGGGATAGAGGTCATAATTCTAATGTATTTCTGACTCTTCCTCCTCTAATTTTTTCCGTTTGTCATTCAACTTCACCGAGTGGTGTCCAGAATTAGAATGAGAAAAAGATGTACAGCAAAATTTTGCTCTTTAAATTAAAAACAAAACAAAAACTCAGCAGGGACTGTCCATTGATACTGGGTAACATGAGGTTTATACATTCTAGATAAGCCAAAGGAAATGCCAGAACTAATATAATCTTTAATGGTCACCATTTCCTTTTATATCTGACACTGTAAACATTACTTACCTCTTGGGTTGTCTGGTTTAGACACATTTTTGCAGCTGTTCTGCGATCATCAAGGAAGAAGGGATTTTTCCAACGGTCATAATTAGTTTCTACCACATACCATCTGCTCTGCTCGAGGTCAAGTCTAGATACAAAAAGAGAGATTCTTCTCAGGCTTCATGCCTTAAACCTGTATGTACATCAGTCTATGCCTTAGCTTTTGCTTTGCTTTAACAAATGTACTTACTCATATATATCCAAAGATTTCTTTCTGTCTCGTGTAATCACACAGCCCTCCCCAGACTTGTTGCCTCCCAGGATGAAGTATGCTGGGGCCAATATTTTTGTTTTGATCAATATATTCCTGGCTTCTTCATAACTACATAAAAACATTTTTAAAAAAGGAAACATTTTTAGTTGACTTGGAATGGAACTTTTTAAACTATAGAAACTAAGCGAAAACATATCTGAAGCACATCTTTTTTTAAAAAAGGATGGTGAGCAATGGCCCAGGGAGGAACAGTCTCTGACTCCTAGGTGGTGAAACACTGAGGTCTGAAATGTCCCCTCCAGTATGAAGAACAAAACAGCCTCAAGAGATCACCCTCCACCCTTATTGTCTATGCCTTTAAACCCCAAAGTTAGGGCTATTATTTTTTATTTATTTTTGTTACAGATGTTTCTCCTTTTTTACCCCATTGACACCCTCCTCCCCACCCCCCTCCTGCCCCGTCCCTGGCTTTGTTGTCCATGTCCATTGGTTATGCGTACCTGCATATAAGTTCTGTGGTTTATCTCTTCCCACCACCCACCACCCCCTCTTCTGAGGATTGTCAGTCTGTACCCTACTTCCATGTCTCTGGGTCTACCGTATTCCTCAGACTGTTATATTCATTATATTCCATATATAAGTGAGATCATGTGGTATTTGTCTTTTTCTGCTTGGCTTCTTTCACTTAGGATAATACTTTCCAGGTCCCTCCATGTCGTCTCAAAGGATAAGAGATCTTTCTTTCTTACAGCTGCATAGTACTCCATTGTGTATATGTACCACTGCTTTTTTATCCATTCGTCTACTGAAGGACACTTGGGTTGTTTCCAGATCTTAGCTATTGTAAATAGGGCTGCTACAAACATGGGGGTACATATATTCTTTCTGATTGGTGTTTCAGGCTTCTTAGGGTATATTTCTAGAAGCGGGATCACTGGGTCAAATGGAAGTTCAATTTTTAATTTTTTGAGGTAACACCATATTGTTTTCCATAGTGGCTGCACCAGTCTGCATTCCCACCAGCAGTGTATTAGAGTCCCCTTTGCGCCACACCCTCGCCAACACTTGTTGTTTGATGATTTGTTGATGGCGGCCATTCTGACAGGTGTGAGGTGATACCTCATTGTTGTTTTAATTAGGACTATTATTATTAAATGAAGTGGATTTTCAAAGAAGATTACTAAATCGTATTCCCTAGAAAGCATTAAAAATAGAATTGATGCCCATTCTACGTCATTTTGATGTGTTGACTAAAGGCAGTTTTGCTACAAGATTTCTGCACCAGCACAGAATATAACTTCTAGGTTAACAGGTATTATTATTTAAATGACTATTTTACTATACAATTCTTATTTTCTGTATGGGGCTTTTTTTTTTTACATCAAGAAAAACTAGGTCCCTGCATAGTGGCACTACCCAGCACCTTTTAAACAAATCATTTCCTTACTTTAAACATGCACACCACACACACAAATAAAGACTTCCTTATGAGGTTCACCTAAGAAGTTCTGAAATAATAAAAGATAAGCTAGAGAATATTTTTATATTAATATGAGTAAAATAAATTACAATACACTAAAAGAACCACACTCCTTGATCAAGTGGGACTTATTCCAGGGATGCAGGGATGGTTCAACTACCACAAATCAACCAATGTGATACACTACGTTAACAAAATGAAGGCAAAAAATCATCTCAATAGATGCAGAGGAAGCATTTGACAAAATGCAACATACATTTATGATTAAAAACTCCAATTTGGGTGCACAATAAGGAAATGTACCTTAATATAATAAAGGCCATATATGACAAGCCCAGAGCTAACATATTCAATGGTGAAAAGCTGAATGCTTTTCCTCTAGGAACAAGAGAAAGATGCCCATTCTTACCGTTTTTATTCAATATAGTATTGGCAATACTAGCCAAAGCAATTATGCAAGAAAAAAAATCATCCAAATCATAAAGAAAAGTAAAACTATTGCTATTTGCAGATGACAAGATATATATAGAAAATACTAAAGATTTCACACACAAAAAACTAATAAATTCAGTAAAGTTGCAGGATAAAATCAACGTCCAAATATCAGTAGCTATGCACTAATAATGAACTATCAGAAAGAGAAATTAAGAAAATAATCCCAATTACAATTGCATTAAGAAGAATAAAATACCAAGGAACACATTTAATAACCCGTGAAGTGACTTACTTCCAGTCAGGATGGCGGCGTACGTAAATGCTGTATCACATCCTCCCACAACCACATCCAAGTTACAACTAAACTACAGAACGAACAACCATCATTCAAAACCGCCTGACATCAAGCTGAATGGAAGTCCTACACCTACGGAGTTAAAGCAGCAGCCACATGGAGACTGGTAGGAGGGCAGAGGGGACAGGCTGGTCCCACACCCACGTGTGGCGGATAAAAATCAGGAGGACACCTCGGCTGGGAAGGTCCTCCCTGAGGACTGAGGGGTCCCTGTCCCACACCAGGTGCCCCGCTCAGGGTTCCAGTGCCAGGAAGAGAATCCCCATCACTTCTGGCTGGAAAAACCGGTGGAAACTGAGGCTCAGGGAGGCTGGGGCTGCTGGAGCCCCAGGCAGCTCCTTAAAGGGCCCGTGCACGGACTTACTCGGACTCCCTCCCTCCAGGCTCCAGCGTGGGGGAAGCAGCTTGGAAGGCATCAGACATATGGGGAAGAACTGGGTTGTTTGGCACTGGAGCGAGGTCTGCAGAGACAGCTTTCTCCTGGACAGACGTGCTGTCAGAGGCCTTTGTTCCTCTGGTGAGCCCTTCCCCGGGACAGCAGACAGCCCCCATATCTGGGCCTCCAGCAACCTGGCTCACACTGGTTGCCCCCCGACACCCAACTTTCAGACCCACCCAAACTATTGCCAGTTGCTTTACCATAGGATTGGCCTGTCTTGGATCCTGCTTCAGGTTTTCCTAAATTCTTTCAAACAAGCAGCATCTGGTCTCAGCTAGCCCCATACCTCTCGTTAAGTAATACATAGAAACAAACACAGGAAGACAGCCAAAATGAGGAGACAAAGAAACAGGTCCCAAATGAAAGAACAGAATAAAACTCAAGGAAAAGAACTAAGCAAAATGGAGATGAGCAACCTAACAGATGCTGAGTTCAAAATACTGCTTATAAGGATGCTCAATGAACTTAGTGAGAACCTCAGTGAACTTAGCGAGGGCCTCAAGAGCATAAAAAAGGACATCAGAAATGAAGGAGGCACTAACTGAAATAAAGAATAATTTACACAGATTCAATAGTAGAGTAGGTAAAGCCAAGAAGCAAACCATCAATTTGGAATATAAGGAAGCAAAAAACACCCAATCAGAACAGCAAAAAGAAAAAAGAATAAAAAAAAAAAAAAATGAGGATAGTATAAGGAGCCTCTGGGACAACTTCAAGCGTGCCAACATTTGCATCTTGGGGGTGCCAGAAGGAGAAGAGAGAGAACAAGAAATCGAAAACCTATTTGAAACAATAATAATGGCAGAAAACTTCTCTAACTTGGTGAAGGAAACAGACATACAAGTCCAGGAAGCACAGAGAGTCCCAAACAAGATGAACCCCAAGAGGCCCAGACCAAGACACATCATCATCAAAATGCAAAAGGTTCAAGACAAAGAGAGAATCTTAAAAGCAGCAAGAGAAAGGCAGCTAGTTACCTACAAGGGAGTTCCCATAAGGCTGTCAGCTGATTTCTCAAAAGAAACTTTGCAGGTCAGAGGGAGTGGCAAGAAATATTCAGAGTGATGAAAAGCAAGAACCTACAACCAAGATTACTCTATCCTGCAAAGCTGTCATTTAGAATTGATGGCCATATAAAGAGTTTCCCAGACAAGGAAAAACTGAAGGAGTTCATCACCACCAAACCATTATTATATGAAAAGTTGAAGTGTCTTCTTGAAGAAAAAGATTAAAAATATGAACAAACAAAATGGCAATAAATACATATCTATCAACAATGGAATCTAAAAACAAAATTAACAAGCAGAACAGAAACATTCTCATAGATACAGAGAACTTTTGTTGGTTGCCAGATGGAAGGGGGGTTGGGAGATGGGAAGAAACCAAAGAACTTATATGCATATATGCATAACCAATGAACACAGACAACAGTGTGGGAAAAGGCAGGAGGGGGGCGGGAATGGAGAGGAGGGGGTCAATGAGGGAAAAATGAGGAACATCTGTAACACATTCAACAATATAGATAAGTTAAAAAAAAAACCCATGAAGTGAAAACTGTACACTGAAAACTGTACAAAACTGATGAAAGAAATGGAAGACAAATTAATGGAAAGATATTCCATGCTCATGTGTTGGGAAATTCATATTGTTAAAATGTCCATACTACCCAAAGCAATCTACAGATTCAGTGGAATCCCTGTCAAAATTCCAATGACATTTTTCATAAAAGGAAATCAGAAAAACCTAAAATTACATGGAGCCACAAAAAACCCTGAATAGCAAATGCAATGTTGAGAAAGAATAAAAAATCTGGAGTTATCACATGTCATGATTTCACACTATATTACAAAGCTATAGTAATCAAAACAGTATGATAGTGGCATAAATCAGACACATAGCCCAATGGAACAGAATAGAAAGCCCCCAAATAAACCCGTGTGTATACAGTCAATTAATTTACAACAAAGGAGCCAAGAATGCCCAATGGGGAAAGGAAACTGTCTTCAATAAATGATGGTGGAAAAACTAAACAGACACATGCAAAAGAATAAAAGTGAACCACCATATTATATCATACACAAAAATCAACTCTAGATTAAAGACTTGAACATAAGACCTGAAACCGTAAAATTGCTAAAAGAAAACATAAGCAGCAAGCTCTCTGACACTGGTTTTGGCTGTGATTTTTTTGGATTTAACAACAAAATCAAAAGCAAATATAAGCAACCGGGACTACATCAAACTAAAAATCTGCACAGCAAACAAAAAGAAAAAGAAACCTATTAAATGGGAGAATATATTGCAAATCATGTATCTAATAAAGGTCACCATCCAAAGTATATAAAGAACTCATACAATTCAATAGCAAAAACCCCCAAACAATTCTGTTAAAATATTGGCAGAGGTTCTGACTAGACATTTTTTCTGAAGAAGACATACAGATGGCCAGATACCTGAAAAGATGCAGATGAAAACCACAATGAGGTTATCACCTCACACCTGTTAGAATGGCTTTTATAAAAAAGACAAGAAGGTGTGACTCCAGGTTGTGTTAGCGGATTCCAGGAAGCCGGAAAGACCATCATGGCCAAGAAGAAGCCCAAGCTCCACTATCTGGATGAAAACTGTATGATGGGTTTTAGCTGCCGCTGGAGTTGAGTTTGATGAGGAATTTTTGGAAACAAAAGAACAGTTACAGAAGCTGCAGGGTAGTAAACCACCTGCTGTCCCAGCAAGTGCCTACGGCTGAAACTGATGGGTGAAGTGGGTGCAGGCCCCAAGTAGTCTCCACTACATTGAGGACAGGCACAATCTCTTTGGCAAGGACCTCAAGGAGAGAACCCTGATTGACATGCATGTGGGGGACGCTGGATCTGCTGGGACTGATTTTCATGCACCCTTCCTAAAACCAGAGGATCAACAGAAGGAAGTGGACAGCATGGCTCAGAGGCAGACTTCGATACTTTCCTGTATTTGAAAAGGTTTTAAGGAAGCACGGACAAAGGTTCCTCGTGGGAAATCAGCTGAGCCTTGCAGATGTGGTTCTTCTCCAGACCATTTTGGCTCTAGAGGAGAAAATTCCCAGTATCCTGTCTTCATTTCCTCACCTCCAGGAGGACTCAGTGAAAATGAGTAATGTTCCTACAATTAGTAAATTCCTGGAACCTGACAGCAAGAAGCAGCCTCCTCCTGATGAGATCTATGTGAGAACCATGTACAATGTCTTTATGCCTTAAAACAGCACACACATCTGTGAGTGAGAACACACCTCTAGAGGTCGCTGTGTCACAATAGTATCTTAATTGATGCCAGGCTGCCGTGATCCCAGTTATGTTGTGGTGCTACATATAGTTGTTGTTAAGTTGGGTCTTTCATGTCAAGGAGATCTCTTCTAGAAACATTGGCTTTTTTTGTCTAGTGAGTAATTGTTATGGGACCTTTTTCTGAAAACCTTTTTGGAGAGGCTGCCATTTAAGTTAGCTCTGATTTGAACTCGTTTCCTGGTAACAGGGCTGGGCAGGACCTCATGTTCTCCCCTGAGCTTCTTTTCTCCTCTCCTTATCCCATGCTAGACCCCATCTGGTCTCTTTCTAATTTTTAGTGTCTAATAACAATGGAATATCTAGTGAATATCTCTCCTCTGGGCTATTATAAATCCATAGTATTAATGAATGCAGTCGATACACCTAAAATAAAGAATTTATAAATAAAAACATAATTAAAATAAAAAATAAAAAAAAACAAATAAGTGATGGTGAGCAATGTAGAGGAAAGGGAATCCTGTGCACTGCTGGTGGGAATGTAAATTGGTGCAGCCACTATGGAAAATAGTATGGAGGTTCCTCAAAAACTAAAAACAGAACTACCTGAAGGAAATGAAAGCATTAATTCAAAAAGATATGTGTACCTCCATGTTCACTGAAGCATTACTTACAATAGCCAAAACGTGGAAGCAAACTAAATGTCTATAAATGGAGGAATGGGTAAAGAAAATGTGGTAGTATATACAAACAATGGAATATCATCCAGCCACAAAAAAGAAGGAAATCTTGCCATTTGTGACAATATAGATGGACCGTGAAGGCACTGTGCTAAGTGAAATAAGTCAGACAGTGAAAGACAAATACCATATGATCTTACTTATATGTAGAATATAAAAACTAACAAATTCATAGATACTGAGAACATATTAGTGATTGCCAGAGGCAGTCTGGGGATGGGGGTGGGGATGGTGAAATGGGCGAGGGGTCAAAAGGTAAAAACATTGAGTTATAAAATAAGTTCTGGGGATGTAAGGCAAAATGTGGTTACTGTAGTTAATACTGTATTTTATGTTTGAAAGCTGCTAAAAGTAAATCTTAAAAGTTCTCACAAGGAAGAAAAATTTTTGTAACTGTGGTGATAGATGTTAACTAGACTTCTTGTGATCATTTGCAATATATACAAATGTCAAAACACTTTGTATACCTTAAACTAATATTATACATCAATTATAGCAATAAAAATAATTTTAAAATATTAAATTTGAAAATAAAGCAAACAGATTACCTGGTGCTATTTTCCAGAACTGATCTCGTGATAAACCCTATCCACATGGCATCTTTCTTTCCCAAAATCCATTCTATGACACCTGGAGGAGACACACACACAGTGTCACAGGACCCAAAAGAGGTGAGTGTTAACCAGAAGGCCAGTTCTCCTCTTAAAACATCTATGAAATTTCCATTTTATTTAACAATTGTCTACTCACCCATATAACCACCATTTGTACTGAAGCGCTCATTTAGTGTAAGACTAAATAGTCCCTGAGAAAAAGACAAAGGAGTGAAATCAGAAACTTGGACCATCCTGTTCAAGGCCCTCTCGCTGTAGTTTATATGGTGTATCAAGAACTGGACTGGGTAATGGGGAGTGCAAAGATCAATCAAAACCATGATAATATCACCTTCTATTAATAAAGCCTTTTCGGAATTTCAGAGAATGTTCACAGCTAGTGTTGAGATAAGTAGACGGGATGTTACTGGTATCACGTTCCTAACAGACTGCAGGGCAGAGAATTGATGCCTCAGATGCTGAGTGGCAGGCCCAGGAACAGATCCCAGATTGATGCTCCTAGCCCTCAGCGTCCAGCCACATGCTTCCCCCAGAATGGGCTCAAAAGCTTCCCTCCTCTCTGCCCTCTCTACCTGTGAGCTCATACCTACGCAGGTGACAAGTACAAAGGGATGAATGGGGGCTTCATACTCTCTCTATGTCCTGGTTTCCTCGGATCCCACCCTTCGCAGAGTGAACGCAGGACACAGAGCTACCTGTGAAGTTACGTAACAGTAGATTCCTTACTGGTTTGAATCCTGTTAACATGCCCACATAGCCAGCAAAGCTTGCAGCCTTGAAGACAGTTTTATTGTTTCTTTGGAAGTCCAAATTCACTGTTAAAGGTTTTAGCTCCTCAGTCACGACCCAGGAGTTATTATTTACATTCCACCTACAAAAGACAAATTTTAGTGACATTTAAGAACAATGATGATAATGGCTATGATGATGATGATGGCCAGGCATTACACTAGGTACTTTATCTGTCTAATCCCTAACTATCACTCCTAACAAGAACTTTTCATTGGAGGGGAGGAGTTGGAGGGGCTGGGTGAAAAGGGTGAAGAGGAGATTAAGAAAGAAAAAACAATACCTCGTAGATACAGACAACAGTATAGTGATTACCAGTATAGGGAAAGGAGGTTGGGAGGAAGCAGAAGAGGGTAAAGAGGAGATAAATGGTGATGGAAGGAGACTTGATTTGGGATGGTGAACACACAATGTAACACACATAATGTATTACATAACTGTACACCTGAAACTAAATATTTCTATTAACCAGTGTCATCCTAATACGATAAAAAAAACTTTGAAATATGGGTGGATTTATCCTCCATTCTTCATGACAGAACAGGCTCAGAGAAGTGAAGTACTTCTCCCCATATAACAGCCTATAAATAACAAACTCCATATTCAAATTTAGGTCTCTAATTATAAAGCCCTGTTACATTTTTTTTCCCCAGAAAGATAATGAAGACATACAATAGAATGCTATTCTTCCATTTAAGCAATAAACTAGACATGCATCTGGGGCCTTCAAGAATGCTCCAGATTTCCCTTCACTAGGTACAATCAGTTACGACCTCGCAGATAACTGAGTAAGAATGTGCCCATCTCGACTCAAAACTAAGGCATCCACTCTCTTCACTTCTGGTCACACTGAGCATGACCTGGAACTTTTCATCAATGTAATACAATCTATTCTTTTAAAGGACTGATAAACACCATATTCTTTACTTACCCAAGGAATATTCCAAAATCCATGTTTCGCCCATGTATTAAATGACCTAATTGAAAGTAAGCAAAAGAGACATGTAGGAACAATTATGGTAGTATGATTGATCTTAAATCAAAGCTGGACACTTAATTTTGGTTAACTGATATTCACAACTGTTAAATCCAGCAATAAGAATTTAAGCAGCATCCTGGGGCTGTGAGTCTTAAGATCGAACTATTGTCCCTGTCACATCAGCTAGATCCCCCCCATTATCCCCAAGAACACAGGGTTCAGGTAAGATTAGAATATGGGGAAAGGACCAGTGGTCATTCTTTGGTCCACTATGACACAGTCCTACCCGACATAGCTATTTTAGCTTCACCTAATGTGACTTGCAAACATGCTTCACGTATTGTCACCTGTAACAAGGGTTAGGTACAGGTAGACTTAATACCAAAGTATAGGTAAAAAATAAGAGTGAATCAGGGTAAATCATCCTGTGCCTTGTACTCTGAGGATCTGCCAGGAAAATCATGGGAAAGTGAGGGTGGTCTATACAAGGCCCCTTGGCTGAGAAACGATGGGAGATTTGTCCTGGGCTTCAAGGTAAGGCGGGTCATTATGCACATGCAAATAATGAAGCACCCTCTGAGTACTTATGTCAGATCATGAAGATGGGTACTAGCGGAGTATGAGGAAGGGTAAGCATGTGTACAGTCCTGAAGCACTTCTTCCAAGTTGTTTTGCATGCCTGAATTTAACTTTAATAGGCATTACTGTGGTCTTAAAATAAGGGTAATTTTCAATTCACTTTTAAAAATTTACTAAGATCCATAAATTATATACAATATACACAGAATTTGCATAGCAAGCCTAGATTTTACAAGGTCTAATTCCCTTGATTTGGAAGATTTTCCGTTTACCCTGTACTTTGCAGTGCCCACCCTCCCTCAGCACACTTACCTTTTTTGTCCTCTGCTATTATTGAAGTACAAATGGTAAAAAATTCATAGAAAATATTGAATGAAATAATCTCTCCTATGAGAAAAGACAGGACATTTTTTGGTTAATATACAGAACCATATTATTAGAAGATTCTTTTTTTTTAAATGTTGTTATTGATTTCAGAGAAAGGGAAAGAGAGAAACATCATCGATTGGTTGCCTCCTGCATGCCCCCTACTGGGGATTGAGCATGCAACCCAGGCATATGCCTTGACTGGGAATTGAACTGGCAACCTCCTGGTGCATGGGACCATGCTCAACCAACTGAACCACATCAGCCAGGCACAAGATTCTTTTTTTAAATTTATTTTTGTTACAGATGTTTCTCCTTTTTCCCCCTAGACATCCTCCTCCCTATCTGCCCCTGCCTCCCCCAAGCATTGTTGTCTGTGTCCATGGTTACGCATACATGCATATTAGTTCTTTGGTTTATCTCATCCCTTCCCTCAGTCCCTCTCCTCTGAAGTTTGTCTGTCTGAACCGTACTCCTTTCTATGTCTCTAGGTCTATTTTGTTCATCAGCTTTTTTTTGTTTACTATATTCCACAAATAAGTGAGATCATGTGGTATTTGTCTTTCTCTGAGTGGCTTATTTCACTTAGCACAGTACTCTCCAGGTCCCTCCATGTCGTCTCAAAGGATAAGAGATCTTTCTTTCTTACAGCTGCATAGTGTTCTATTGTGAGAAGATTATTTTTTTAAGAAAGGGTTGAGCCCTGGCTGGTTTGGCTCAGCAGTTGGAACATCAGCCCGTGGACCATAGAGTCCCGGGTTCGGTTCCTGCTAAGGGCATGTACCTCGGTTGCAGTTTGTCCCTGGTCCCAGTTGGGGTCGTGTGGGTGGCAGCCAGTCCACGTGTCTCTCTCACATAGATGTTTCTCTCTCTCTCTTCCTTCCTCTCTCACTCCCGCTCTGTCTCAAGATAAATGCAAAAATGTCCTCGGGTGAGGATAAAAAAAAAAAAAGAAAGGGTTGAACTATCATCACTGTGAGTTTTTGCTTTGGCATGGCTATCAAAAGAAATGTACAAGAATGTTCATAACTGTTTATTCTTAACCCAAATTCTGGAAACAACCCAAATATCCTATTCATATAATAAGTACAAGAAACCAGACACAACAGTTTGGTTCTACTTATAAGCAGGTCAAGAGGCAAAACTAATCTAGGGTGAAGTCAGAACAGTTATTGCCTGGGGATGTAGTATGTCTACGAAGGAATATGATGGAGCATTCTGAATGGCTGGAATTTTTTTTTTAATTGAATTTTTTAGAGAGAGAGGAAAGGAGAGAAAGGAATATTTATGTGAGAGAGAAACATCAATCAGCTGCCTCCTGCATGTCCCCCACTGGGGATTGAGCCCGCAACCTGGGCATGTGCCCTGACCGGGAATTGAACCAGGACCTCTCAGTCCATGGAATGATGCTCAATCCACTGAGCTACACTGGCCAGGTTGAAATTTTCTGTATGTTGATCTGAGTTGCAATTACATGCATGTTTTTTTTTTTAATCCTCACCCAAAGATATTTTTCCATTGATTTTCAGATCTGGTGAGAGAGTGAGAGGGTGGGAGGGAGGGGGAAAGAGAAACACTGATGTGAGAAGTACACATCAACTGGCTGCCTCCCATACGACCCAAACAGGGCCAGGGACCGAACCGCAACTGAGGTATGTGCCCTTGACTGGAATTGAACCTGCAACTCTTTGGTCCACGGGCTAATGCTCTAAGCGCTGAGCCAGACCTCAATAAAAATATTTTAAGTGCTTTATTAATTTTTTTAAAAGCTGAGAAATGAACTTTACCTAAAGGTATGCCAGTAATATCTGAAATCGCCTTCATTTCCTCCTCATAAGGGCCAGGAAAGTTGCCAAGTAGACCAGGCTGAAAACCAAATAAATTAAAACAATCATTTGATCCAAAGGGTTGCTTTGAGATTTGGTTATTTTACATATAATTTGTTCTAGATACTGCTGCCACAATAGGTGATCTTATTTTTAAAGACACTTTCACATCACGTATTTCTATGTAACACTATAACTCTTGCTTTTGTACCCTTAAGCTCAACTGTTCACAAGTATTGTGCAGAAACCTGTGATTCTCGGATTGTTTGTATTTCACCCTCTTCTCCAGAGAGACGAGGAACTGGAAGAGTTCCACTTGGATGACCTTATATGACCCACAACACAGGCACATCACAAGAAGCGCTACTTATCTCTCTACTAAACTCACTCTTCGGCCAATGGCCTTAGAGCCGCATTTCTACTTCCTTCCTGCACATAGCAAAAGTCTGCTTTCTAGTCCTTCACTAAAACATCTGTCATGGTTAATGTCTGATCTTGGGCTAAGATGCTTTATGCATTCTTTGGTGATTAATGGACGCAAGAGCAAAGATGATGGAGGACATTATACTTTTATCCTCAACTACAACTATTCACTAATATTGAGATCAAGATTTTTTAAAATATATTTTTATTGATTTTTTCTTTTTTAGGAGAGAGAGGAGGGGACAGATAGAAACATTGATGTGAGAGAGAAACATTGATAGACTGCTTCCTGCACGCCCCCTACTGGGGATCGAGCCTGCAACCCAGGCATGTACCCTGACTGGGAATTGAACTGGGACCTCTCAGTCCATGGGACGGTGCTCAATCCACTGAGCCACACCAGCCGGGCAAGATCAAGATTTAAGTTCTACACAGCGTCTTGCTAAGATGTGTTTAAAATGTAGGAGTCTCATTTCTCACCAGCTTGCTATTTGTATGTAATGGGACCTGAGGTCGTGCACAAGTGGAATATTCCCTCCACTTTAACACACAACAATGACTTCCTGAACATTAATGAACTATTTCTTACATCCAGGCACTGTGCTTTACAGGTAATATGTCATTTAATCCTCACCACCACGATATAAAATATGTATCAGTAAATTCTCCCCAGTGAGAAAGCTGAAGTCTCATAAGAAACTTGTCCAAGGACACACAGCTAGTACATGACTGATCCAAACAAAAGCCCCCTGTTGTCTGATGACAAAGCCTGGACACCCCCTGCATGCTGCCCCCTACTGCCACCCAGAGGAGGGGGACAGGGGCACGTGGGGGCCTCTCGTGCTGCCGCTCCTGCCAATGTGTGTCCTTGGGGAGGCCCGGTTAGTATGACCACAGGGAGAGCCTTCCTCAAAGGCATGGAGAGCGTACCCGTGAAGGATGGCACGTGTAATGGTTGTCAGGAGCAAGTGTCATGGGAATGATATGCCTAGGGCATCCGGCCTCTAGTTCAGTGATTCTCAACCAGGGGTGGTTCGCCCTGCCCTGCCCGGGGAGCTTTGGTGACATCTAGAGACAGTTTTGGCTGTCTGTCACAACTGAAGGGGTACTACTGGCACCCAGTGGGTAGAGGCTGGGGATGCTGCTATACATCCTTCAATACATGAACTTCCCCTCACAACAAAGTATCATCCACTCCCAAATGTCATTAGGTTGAACATCTGCCCTGGGCCTTGGTGCCCCAACCCCATCCTTTGCACCCTGCAGGCCAGTGGAGGCCCCAGAGCAAAGACTGAAGAGGGCGAAGAGGATCTCGCAGGGAGTCTCAGGCGCCAGGCCCGATTTTCCATTGGTTCCACCTAAATAAAAATGGGGGCTGAGAAATAGAGTCTTCCTGCAGGACCAGGAGGAAAAGGAATGGTTTGGTGAATGCAAGTCTCAAGAAGCAGGCCACCCAGGTGAGTCTGAATGGTCATAGCTCCTGAGGGACTCCACAAAGCACAGGCTGGCTGGAGAAATCTCTGCGTGTCTCAGGATACTCTGGCAAAGTACCTAAGAAAAAACCCAGCCCTGGCCGGTTTGGCTCAGCGGTTGGAGCGTCGGCCTGCGGTACAGAGAGACCCGGGTTCGGTTCCTGCTAAGGGCACGTACCTCGGTTGCAGTTTGTCCCCGGCCCTGGTTGGTTGTGCGGGTGGCAGCCACTCGATGTGTCCCTTCACGTCGATGTTTCTCTCTCTCTCTCTTCCTCTCTCTCCCTCCCGCTCTATCTGAACAAAAAATGGAAAAATGTCCTCGGGTGAGGATAAAAAAAAAAAAAGAAAAAAAAAAAGAAAAAACCCAAACTTTCAATAATGAACTTGTGAGTCCAAGTGTACATAACGGGAAGGAAACATCATACACCCAGATGAAACAGATATTTTGCCCACTGCTCTGTAAAATTGTCAAGACTTTTGAAAAACATTCAAGCACAGTAAACTGCCCCCAAACTGCCACGCCGTTTCTCATCCTGCTGCTCTGATGGTACTGAGCCCGAGTGTCCAGTCCCTCTGAAGAGCTGGTAGTCGTCCAGAAGAAAAGCAAATGTGTCCAAGCTCCTTAGAAGAGGTGGTAAAATGATGCCTTTAAATAAATACCAGAGCCTTTCCTGAACTGTGTGTGGGTGCTTAAATTTTATTGTAGGAAATAATGTTTCTTACCAACTTTTGATCCACTATCTGCATAATTTTTCCACTTGGAACAAATGCATTTACTACATCTTTCAGGGAATTCACGATAATCCTTAGCTGAAAAATGAATGAATTAATGAATTAATTAACTAATTAAGAAACATAAAGAAGTGTTGACATTCAAGATTAATACTGGTTTAATAGAAACAGATATAGACCATTTGATTTATTTGTATGTAGCTAAATAAAATAGGGTGATATTTGAAAATATTTTCAATTAATGTATAAACATAACACATCTTAAACATGACATGTGATTAACTACTTAGACGAAGGCAGAAGATACAAAGAGGGAGAGAAACAAAGGAAAGGCCAGTAAAAAGGGCGAGAAGCTGCAGAGGAATGACACCTTCTTCTCTGCTGTGATTTATTGTAAGTGGCAGAAAAGTACCCAAAGCTCATTCTTAAAGTACTTGGTGTGTATTTTCATGAACTGTTCATTTATAAGTGCAATTATAATCAGTAAAGTCAGAAACAGAAGATTTAAGAATCATAGCATACCGATGGTGCCTTGTCAGTGATCAGTTGTTGCCATCTCTTGTAGGGCGGTAAATCAAGATTGATGGTGTACCACGGGACTGGACCCCTATAGCTGTAACGAGAGGTGTATCATCTTGAAGTGTTAAAAGCAATTTTTACGGGGGTTAGATAGTTATATCTATATGGATATGTTAGTGATATATTCTTAATAACAATTTAGAAGTTAGTACTCAACCCAAAATTTGCAAAAGCTCATTTTCTGGTGCTTCTGTCCTGCGTTATATATAATCATAAAAAATCTTGGAAGGGAATGATATATTTGGAGCATTAATGTGAACTGGTGATACGAGAAAGAATCCATTTTGGTTCTAGAGTTCTATGTAACCGGAATATCATTGCTGGAAAATATCTGCCCCATTTTCCCCTCTTAAATCTCTGCAAAGGTTTAATCTAAGCTGGGGAATGTCTCTAATTAGTTTCCTAGTCACATTTCTTCTTTGACTCATGCCAAGTCATTGCTGGCTTCAGTAAAGTCACCTTTTAGGACCCCAGAGTGGCACCTGTATTAGCTTCCATGACTGGCTTCTAGAACCTTCGCTATTCACTCAGCCACCTTACTCTTCCTACTATACTCTATTCTCATTCTTCTGTAGTAAATCCAAGCTCAAGCATGGTGGGGCCACACCCATTCCCCAACTCCCTACACATCAATTTACATGCAGCAATTTCTGCTGAGGACACAGCAACATCTTTGCCCTTCCTTCATCAATGGGCGTGGTTGGGCCACATTTCTTTCCGGTGGATGAATTCTCACTATTCTCTGTCACTATGGAAACATATCTTCTGGCACATGTTACTGAACTGAAATAGCCTCTAAGGGTGTGCCTTTCCATGATTTATCAGCTTAAAACTTTGCCTAAAAAAAGCCAGCATTAGCTCCATTACTGCTCTGCTCCAGAGGCAGAAGATGGACTCCAGCATATGCAACAATGTTACCAGGCTGCTAAACTAACATGGGATCCACACTTGTATCTACAGCAGAGATGGGTTAGTACCTAAAATTCATGACTTGTGCTCCTATTTATATTCTAGTGGCATGAATAATTATTTGATTCTCTCAATAATGCCACTGAGCTTGTGTCCTAGGTATATGTATAAGGTTTTATGAAATTGTTAACCAGTAGCAACTAGGGGTGTGATTCAGATAGAAAAGGAAAGCATACTGGAAACATCCTTTTAAACCAAATCACAATGAATAAATTGTTCTTTTCAAAGCATTTTCAGAATGTCATGTCCTTAGTAGCTTAATTCCTAGAAAAAAAGCTTTATATAAAAACAAATTGCCCTGGCCGGTTTGGTTCAGCGGTTAGAGCATCGGCCTGCGGTCCTGAGAGACCCGGGTTCGGTTCCCACTAAGGGCACGTACTTTGGTTGCAGTTTGTCCCCGGCCCTGGTCGGTTGTGCGGGTGGCAGCCGCTCGATGTGTTCCTTTCACATCGATGTTTCTCTCTCTCTCTCTGTTCCTCTCTCTCCCTCCCCCTCTACCTGAACAAAAAATGGAAAAATGTCCTCGGGCGAGGATAAAAAAAAATAAATAAATAAAAAAAAAATAAAAACAAATTAATTCCATTTCTGACTGATCATAATTTCACATACAAAATTCTGCCCCACAATTCAATAAAATTATTATTTTCATCCTATTACAGGCAGGTGCGTCTAACCTCCTGTCCTCTCCGCCGGCACACACCAGTTTCTCCATGTCCAACAGCAATGCCAAACCAGTGGCCCTGGGGCCATGCACACTGGTGGCACTGTCATATGTGTTCTACCTGTGAACTCCAATCAGCTGCTCCCCCCTCCTAATATCCAGTAATATCCAAACCATGTCCCTACACCGGACCTATACTCCTAATTCTTTTTCAGACCAGAGCCTTGGATAGGCTCAAGAATTCTAAGGAAGAAATGTAGAGGAAACAAACTTGTTACAGCAGACGATTAAGTTCGGATGGGAGACCTCAGAAACCTCTCTATAATAAAACCTCTACTAATCAGAATTCTTTGAAAGACCTGTTAACCTCATTAACTAAATTATTTTAATAATTAAAGGTTAGCCCTGCCAGTGTGGCTCAGTGGTTGAGCATCTACCCATGCACCAGGAGGTCGCAGGTTCAATTCCAGGTTAGGGCACATACCGAGGTTATAGGCCCAATCCCCATGGGGGGCATGCAGGAGGTGGCCAATTGATGTACTTTCTCATGGACGTTTCTCTCTCTCTCTCCCTCTCGCTTCCTCTCTCTCTAAAATCAATAAAGAAAAATATTCAAATAAAAAAACTAAAAAAACTAAAAAATTAAACGTTAGCCATAATCCCATATTTTACTTCTCATTATTTTTCTAAAATATCTCAGTATGGAACATCTGCACCTCAATTTCCTACAGCAGTGATTTTCAACCTTTTTCATCTCATGGCACACATAAACTAATAACTAAGATTCTGTGGCAAAACAAAAAATATATATATTTTGCTAATCTAACAAAAATAAGTATAATTTTGATTGCTTTACAAATAAAAGTAACAATAGTAATTACCTACGCTTTTTGCTCCAAAGTGACTTTTCAAAAAAATCAGGTGCCTTACTTGCATATACGCATTTCTGGTACCAAGAATTAACCAGTCAGACATAACATTATTATGCGACGTAACAAGTAAGATGCAACTCTATTATATAATCTATATATCTACTGTTCAAGACAGGGTATTCATAGCAAACAGCTACTGTTGTGTTGGCTGTTGTCATTTTTTTATCTGACAATCTAACGGAAAAGAGGTCAGTGTCCCTGACTAAATAGTCAGGTATTGCATGTTTTAAAAATTCTTGCAGCACACCAGTTGAATATTGCTGTCCTAGAGAAATGAACAGTATCTGCCTTATGAAGATTACATGAAATGTGCAAAGAATATTTCGCAGCATCAGTATTCAATCAATAGTAATTACTATACAATATTTTCCTATAAATAATCAATGTTAAGCTATTTTTGATTCTTAGCATCTGCTGTGCCCAGGTCATAATCAATAGTAAGCATTGACAGAACCCACCTGGCACCCCAGATGGTTTGGAAAATAGTCCACATGACACAACGTTCATCTGTACAAATAACACAGCAGGGGAAAAATAATGTCGGCAGAGTGAATGGAAGCTATGTTGACTGTCTCTCAGGACCAGATGGGAAGCACAAGTAAAATAAAGAAAAGTCATCTGGAAAAACCAACTGAAGACCAGCTGGAGAGAACCCTTATAATAAAGGATATAAAGAGGAGCCCAAATTGAGTCTGGTAGGAGATAAAGAGGTGCAAGAGCACTGGCTGGGCTCCAACAGGCAGCAGCTGAGGGTTTTTCAGCTGTGAAAAGTTCCCCCTGAGAGGTCTGGGGTATATACCCCAAGCTTGGCTCTCTAGCACAGAGTGGTAGAACAGTGAAAGGTGCCTACATAACACCTGGCTGAGAAAATCACCAGGGCAGAGGTTCTGTCCAGCAGGGAGAGATGCTGGGAACATCAGCACCCGCTTATAGGACCAGCGAACTAAATTTCAGCTACAACCACTCACCTTGGGCTCTGGCAGAGGGAGGGGTCAATGAACTAGAGCTGCATGAGGAGAGTTGGGGGTTCGTGGCTCTTGGGTGAGAGCTGGGAAGGAGGCCATCAGGAGCCCTATGCGGAGTCATTTCCCCACACTATAGAAACATTTTTCTCAGGCAGAGTTTTCCCATCAAAGCAGCTATAGCCCAGGAAGGAAACAACAGCCCCACCTGTTGGAATTCCACCCCATCTGCTGGGAGGAGTTGTGCCTAGCACAGAACTGCAACTTGAGGCTCATTAACTATCAGAGACTCCCAACCAGGCTGCAGGGAGAGACAGGACTCTGGGTGCTTTGAGTCTTTAGCCTGACTGATGGTTGTTGGGATTTGTGGCTCTGGGGACTGAATTGTAAAAGTGGCTGCCTGGGTCCCTGTGCTGAGTCATTAACCCACACTGTAGAACCCATTTCTCTCAGGCAGAACTGTCCTCTCAAAGCAGCTTTAGCCCAGGGAGGAGCAACTGCCCCACCCACTGGAAATTCTTCCCACTAGCAGGGGTGGGAATGGGGGGGGGGGTTTACACCCAGTTGAGGACTACATCCTGAGGCTCATTAAGCAACTGAGACTAAGAGTCAGCCTTCAGGCAGAAACAGATCTCTGAGATATTTGAGCCTTTGCCTGGACTGTGACTCTACCCGGGAGAGTAAGACCAGACACTGATGTTTAGCTTGGTACCTTCCATACACATCCAAACCCAGCAGAGGGAGCCAGACCACTGATATCCACAGGGAAATTTTGGCAGGCTCCAAACCCTGCTGAGACAGCCAAAATGATGAAACAAAGAAACAAGCCCAAAATGAAAGAACAAGAGAATTCTCCAGAAGGGCTAAGTGAAATCGAGATAAGCATGTTATCAGATATAGAGTTCAGAATAATGATTATAAGGATGCTCAACAGCATGAGAAAAGATACAGAAACAAGGAAAATCAACCAGTTGGAAATGAAAAACAACCAAGCAGAAAAGAAGAATGACATAGCTGAAATAATATAGTGGAAGAAATAAACAGCAGATTAGAGGAAGCTGAAGATTGGATCAGTGAAATAAAGACAGGGTAGAAAAAATTCACTCAATCAGAAAAAAAAAACAATTCACTCAAAAGAAAAAAAACAATTAAAAAACAGGAGGACGGTTTAAGAGAGCTACGGGACGATATGAAACAAAACAACATCCACATCATAGGAGTACCAGAAGAAGAAGAAAGTGAGCAAGGGTCAGAGAACCTGCTTGAAGAAATAGTGGCAGAAAACCTGGTGAAGGAAAAAGTCACACAAGTTCAGGAAGCACAGAGAATCCCAAGCAAGAAGAACCCAAAGAGGCCCATGCCAAGACACATTTTTTTTTTATCCTCACCTGGGGACATTTTTCCATTTTTTGTTCAGATAGAGTGGGAAGGAGCAAGAGGAAGAGGGAGAGAAACATCAACATGAAAGGGACACATCGAGTGGCTGCCACCCGCATGACCCAACCAGGGC